CTGCTAAACATTTTTTCATCTTTTGAGACTGTCTTTGGGTACTTTAAACCCAATTCTGACTCCAGAAGTCAGGTTCTTAACTGTTACATGTAATTAATGTTTTCTCAGTCATGAAAATGGCTCATCTCTTACCCCAAGCACGTTGTAATACATTAGAGTAGTGGTTCTCAACCTTTCTAATGCTGCTACACTGCAATACAGTTTCTTACGTTGTGGTGACCTCTGACTATAAAATTATGTTGCTACTTCATACTTGTAATTTTGCTAATGTTATGAATCATAATGTAAATATCTGATATGAAAGATCTCTGATGAGACTGAAGTGAAAGTGTCATTTGACTCCCAAAGATGTTGAGACCCACAGGTTAAGAATGGCAGCTCTAGGGGGTTGAAATAGGAGGGAAATGCAAAACTAATATAACATATAAGACCAGCAGATAGCTGATTAGGTAAAAGCACTTGCAGCCAAGACTGATGATATGAGTTCAAACCCAAGGACCCACATAATGGAAGCGAAAGAATCAACTCCTGCAAATTGTCCTCTAATTTACACACACACACACACACACACACACACACACACACACACAAGTGAAAACACACACACAATAAATAAATAGGTAGAGAGATAAAATTAATAAATATGTACAATTCCAAAGGAATCATGGTAGTTCTTCTTATCTGTAGAATTCTTTAATATGTTATGTCTAAGTATTGATTTGTCTCTTTATCTTACCTGGGATTTATGACTTAACTCAGGACAGTTTTTAGTTCTTATATGTTTTCTTGTCCCTGTTATGTCTTTTATTTTATTCTAATAGTCATATAAAATACTTAGAGATTCTATGTTGTTCCTATCTTTCTATTAATGAAATATATTCTTTGAAAACTTCACACATAAATATAATGCATCTCGATTACTCTCATACCTCTGCCCTCTATCTCCTCCTCAACCCTCTTGTCCCCCAACTCCTCCCTGCAAGGTCCTCTCCAACATTCATATCTTTTTGTTTCATCTTGTGACCCACTGAGATTATCCAGGACTGTCTGTATGACCATGGGTGTGGAATTATCCCTTTGAGCCTGATTGGCTAACCAATCGCACATAATTCAACCTCCAGCATTTATCAACAGCCAATAGTTTCCCCAAAATGATAAAAGTTCATGACTTCCCCTCTCCACGGTTAGCTGTTTATGGACCCAGTCTTGAGCGGGCCCAATGCAGGCAACCACAGCTGTTATGATTTCATAATTTCAATATCATTCCTATTTTAATCTTCAAAGAATTCAAAAGAACACTTTGTTTATGTGTACATGGTATATGTATCTTTTCATGTTGTTGGGTGAATATGTGCCTGTCTAGCATGTGCAGTATATGATACAGACATATATGTATGCATATTCACATATGTATATATACATATATGTGTGTATCATATATGTGTATATATATGTATGTCTATACCTGCCCCACTCCCAGTGCTGTGACAGATGTGTATGTTTGACTATAACCTGGACACTGGGGACCCAAACTCAGGTTCTCATGCTTACATGGCAAGCGTTTGACTGAGTCACCCTACCCTCACCCCACTAACCCTTTTATTCAGAGATGATTTCCTCAAGTGTGTATATACTATTTAATCCATGAGTTTTGGCTCACTATTTTAAATCAATCTGTTAAGGAGTTGTATTTACATTGTAATGTGATGTGGGATTCCCCTCTGTATGCTGTGAATACCATTGGTTAATAAAGAATCTGTTTTGGGCCTATGATAGGGTAGAGCAGATCTAGGTGGGGAAAACTAAACTGAATGCTGGGAGAAAGGGGGCGGAGTCAGGGAGAAGCCAGGTAGCCCTGCCAGACACTGATGCTTACCTGCTTACCGGGTAAGCCACAGCCTCATGGTGATACACAGATTAATGGAGATAGGTTAGTGTAGGATTTGAGTTAGCCAGAAATACGCTTAAAGCTATTGGCCAAACAGTATTGCAAATAATAGTGTTTCTGTGTGATTATTTCTGTGCTGAGCAGCTGGAAACAAACAAGCAGCCTCCTACAACAGTGAAAGTGGATTGCTACATAGTTTGATAAACACGTTCGAATGAGTAGCCATTACCCCAAAGCTTCCAGCATATTATTTGCAGTCTACCTGCCCTTAGCACATGTCCCATCAAACCACTTGTCTTATTTTCTAGCGCAATAGGTCAGCTTTTCTACTTAAGAACTTCTTATGAAAGAAATAAGACATATACTTTTTTCATTTGAAATATTTATATTCTTTTACTCCGATTTATACCAAACATTATCCCACCATTTGTATCAATTGATGAGTTGTTCATAGTTCTTTCATGAATACTTGTGTACAAGAATTTTCTGAACATGCATTTCATTTTTTTAAATAAAAATACAGGAATAGAATTGTTAAATCCATATAGTAAGTATGTATTTAACTGCTGAAAGTGCCAAACTGTTCTCAAAATGTTTACTGTTTTGCTCTCTCAATGTTGTGTATGGACTTCAGTTGCTTCACATTTTTATCAATGCATTCTACTATCTAACAGGTTAATATTATTATAGTGTATTGTAGCAGGCAAAAAAAAAAAGATGTTCATACTCCATTCTCCAGAAACTTATAAACGTGTTCCCTTATAAGAAAATTTAACAGATTTTATTAAAACAAAAAACCTGCTTTCACTTCATGGGGAGCTTGTCTTGAGGCTTCCAAATGGGTCCATGTAAGTTCTTATATGGATAAAATATTTCCTGGCTATGGGAGACCGATATGATGAGGGAAGGATCAGGAAGACATCAGGATGAGAAAGGTTTGGGGTAGTAGTTCTGGCTTTGAGACAGAAGGGGCCACAGCAGAGGAGTATGAAGGAATGGCATCGAGAAGATGGGGAAGGCAGAGACATGGGCAGCCTTGCAGAGCTTTCAGAGAGGAACAAATCTTTTGATGGCATCTTGGCTTTAGCCTAGTAGGACTCATTGGATGCTTCTGACCTGTGGCACTGTAAGCTAATACATGTGTGTTTCAAGCTACAAGGTTTAGGGTACTTCCCCACTGAACAGTACTACTAGCAGTGTATGGCACATTTTACTATATATATATTCACCTGGGTCATTAGTCCTCCTGAAATTAAATTATTTCAAATTGGCCACTCTCCTTATTTCAGAGCCTCATCTATCTTTGTGTGTCTCCATACTTTACACGTAAAAAGTGCCAGTTTCGTATTTCATATTTTACCTTTCCTGGCACAAACTGACAGCTGAGATTTTCTAGTTCATCCCATTTCAGTTTATCTACTCATTGCTGTGGTCTTAGTTTTTCTTTTCAAACCACGATTCATATTCAAATATTAGTTCAGTGCCAAATATCTATAAAAAGAGTGAGCAAAACAGATTATCTGGGACAAAACCTTAAACTGCTTGAATCTTCACTAATTGTTCATTTTAATATATATTACATTTTGATCTTCTAATCTCAGGTATATGGAGGCTTTACGTCTTTTTTCTTTTATGTTGTGGTATGTTTGTCTGTCACAGGACGCGTGTGTAAGTCAGAGGACATCTGCAGAAGTAGGTTCCTAAGCTCTCATAATGTGGGGCCCAAGGATAGAACTCACAACATAAGGAATGGAGGCAGGCGCTGCTACCCAATGACCCATCATGCCAACCTTTATAGAAACTTGAAGCAGTGGTTCTCAACCTTCCTAATGCCAAGACCCTTTAGTACAGTTCCTCATGTTGTGGTGACCTCCAACCATAAAATTATTTTCATTGCTACTTCATAACTGTAATTTTGCTACTGTTATGACTCATACTCTAAAGATCTGTTTTCTGATGGTCTTAGGCAGCCCCTGGGAAAGGGTTGTTCAGACCCAGAGGTTGAGAACCACTGCTTTAAAGTAATGTGCCGACTTTTATTACTGTTAAAAATGTTGTGAATGATAATTTGTCCATTTTTGCATTAGTCTGAAGAATGAATATTTGAGAAAACACAGAAAATAGCAAGCCTAATTAGGAGGAACTCTATAGATGAACTGCTTAGGCGGAGTGTGGATGGAGAAGAAAAGCAGACTAGCAGGACTCTCTCCGGAATTTCGTGACAGTTCAATAAGAAAATTTGATAAACAAATTTGGAGTCTGCTCCAAATTCCTTTCTTGTTAGATTGAAAGAATAGTTATGACTTTATAGAAATAGTACAGACTGTGTGAATGGGTGGGACCATAACACATCTTTTTAATGTCTCTCTGGAGTGTATGGGCCATACAGTGTATCAGTATGTCATTTTAACAGAAAGGTCGGCCAGTTTTATAGTAACTCATTTGAAGAAGGGGTGAGTAATAATGTTTACTAGAAGATAGTAAACGAGGGACAGGTTAGAGGAAAGGCTATCTCAAAGCAGAGCAGGTGGCTTGCTACCGCTAAAAAAAAAAAGCAGCTCTTTTCGCTACAAATTGTCAGCAATTTCCTGCCTTAGAAGAAACAATTACTCGTGAATTTTTGAGTTAAGGTTAATTAGTGGCGATTTAAAGTTCAGAAGTTGGCTTGTTTTGATGGAGGGGGGTTCTTTCTACATCTATGATTTAAAAGGCTACTTACAAACTTGACCCTAATTCTACCCATCCCATAATACAAAGTATTCCCACCAGCTAGAACTCGGGGCAATCAAAGCAGAACTTTTCACATGTTCAAAATAGAAGCCCCGCCGTAGAGGTTGTTAGTCAAAGGCTGACCTGATGCCTACAATCAGTTAACTAAAAAGTTTACTGGTTACCCTTGCCTTATTTCACGCTAAGGACTTTGAATTCCAATTTTGGAGATTGCAATGCCTTTTCCTATCCCATCCTGCAGGGGGCAGTGATCAGGAATCTCACTCTTAACCACAGGCTCCCTGATCAGCACCAAACCCTTCCTGGACTGTTTCTGGGAAACAGTCAGATTAGTCGCGGGAGCCAGGGCCTGCAACTGAGCCTGCGCATACTGCAGCAGTCGCGTGGGCGCATGCGCTTTGCGTAGACCTGGGCGGGTCTGGGCTGCTCCAGTGTTTCGGGGGCCCAGGAGCCGTGGGAGGAGCCGGCGGCCTCACCGTGGTAACCGCAGCGCCGCCGCCGCCCAGCCTTGCAGGCCTCGGGACTGTCACCGCCTCGGCTGTGAGGGTACATTGGCCGGGTCCCCGGAAGTAGCCTTCCCAGACTCTCAGACACCCCCATCTTCCCCACGCCGCTACCGCCGCCGCCATGCAAGGCGAGGACGCCAGATACCTCAAAAGGTGACGACCCGGGCCCCGCCCTGAACAGGTCCTTAGGCGTTTCCCCACTGATGTGGGTTGTCACTGGGGAGAGCTAGATGAGAGAAGGGGTGGGGTGCAGGGAAGGAGAAAGAAAGAGAGAAGTGATGGGGTGGAATGAAAGACGCGGCCCTGCGGGGCACGAGGTCCCTAATCCACCTTGGCTTGGCGGGGCCCTGACAGCATCAATGGATTTCCTTGCTTCTTTAATTCATATCCGCAGTGAGAGGCAGATTGGGCTAGGTAAACCCTCTATTTAGTTTGTTCTGGTTTTTGTTTTTCTCCTGACCCATTCTCCTGCTTTTCTCAATAGATGAATCCCATGGGAGCGTGGAAGTGATTTCTGTCACAGCACCAATTTGTGTTTAGTTTGAGATTCATAAATCACAGGGGTTTTGAAATAAAGACGGACGTGGTGGTTTTTACTTCGTGCAAGACTGGCCTGAGATGTTCAGCCAGCTGTTCTTGGTCCACTTCACCCACTTGACTGTCATTCACAATATAATATATATAGGAAGTGCATTATTATCAAGACCTTGGCATGAAAGAGCTTCCCATTTTCTACCTTAAGTTTGTGTGGTGTTAGCTGTTCCAAAAAAAGAAAGAAAGAAAATTTATAGAGATTCCTCAACTTCTGTCAAAGATAGGGACATCCAGGGTTAAGAATACACCTCTCGCTGGACCAGAGCGAGCGAGCAGTGAACAAATTAAAGGCTAATGTGGGGTCTCTATTTTTAGTTAAAGCTTTGTTGCTGATTCCCTACAAAAAGCACATACTTTTTTTTTTTACATAATTCATCTAAAATGAGAGCCATAAGGACAGAATACTTTTGAGAGAGAAACCATGCATGTTAGGTGGTGACATGAGCCTAGGTCCTAATATACTTTAATGAGTATATTTTTTCCTTTGCTTGGTAGGATTCTAGCTGACACAGAAACACCTTACAAATGTTAGTGGCCTCTTAAACAGAGTCCAATGTTTATAAGATAAATCAACTATACTGCCTTTGCAGGATGGGAAACATAGTCCTTTGTCTTTTTCATTTTCTGTGTTTATGGCAAATGGAGAGACTTTGAGTAGAGATTTGTAAATGGAACACGTGATCATAAGACATACTTCAGGAGGCAGTGCTCCTTTCCCCACCTCATTTTGCTAACAACATGCACACATGTACTTTAACCCCCACACCTCCAGGCATATACACACAAAATTTTTGTCCAGAGCATTAAATTTTCTAATTTCACATTAAACCTGAGTTTCTTTTAAAGAAAGTGCTGCTATTGTACCATTTTCTGATTTTCATATGCTATGGTTGCTCCATATGCTATGGCGTTGATTTCCTCAGACTAGTGTGGGCGCTCTTAAAATTGCATCATCTAGGAAACAATAAATGCAACTGATCTAGTTCCCATGATGTTTTAAGCTGGAATTAGCATCTGGAAAGGGGTTGAAAGTACTATGTTTAGTTTTATCTAATTTTGACAGAATAAACTTTGCATTCCCTTCAGGTTAAATATATGCATGCACACATGGATATCTGAGAGAGATGATTATTATATATATGATATACAGAGCTAATGGAAAAGGCAGGAATTTGATGGATATGATAAGTATGATGCTTTGTTCAGTTTTTCACATTGTATAATTCTGCTCGACTTACACTGTGCATTGACACTTTATTCCGTTTTGTGACTGAATAATATTTCATTGCATGGCTATATCATAATCTGATTATTTATGACTCAAGTGTAGAGATATTTAGGTGATTTTTTTTTGCCACTTGCCTATAAATAGGATCTTGACGAGATTTTGTGTGAACACTTCTCTTTATTCATTTTGTACATACATAAGCTTGGGATTGCAGAAGCATGGAGTGATTCTATGTTGGGCTCATGGAAGAGCCAACAAAAACTTTCTCAGTGTCTGTACCTTTTATGGTCCCTCTTATGTATGTAGGCTCCAATTTTTCCAGCAATGCCTGTTATCTTCTCTCTTTGTACTGTTCTGTGTGTGTGTTCTGTAACTGTAGCTATTCTAGGGGGTATGAAGTGGTGTCTTTCTTTGATTTTGATTTGCATTTCCCTAATAACTAAGTTGAGCTTCTTTCATATGGTCCTTAGCCATTTGTCTTCCTATTTTAGGAAAAAGTTTTTACTGAAAGATATTCTCAATACAGTTTGTAAATATGCAATTTACAAACATTTGTCGCAGCCTTTTTTGTCTTTTTACTCTGTTGAATATGTCAAGTGTCAACAATTTTAATTTGTTGAAGACTAATTTATAATAGTTACTGTTGCTTTTGAAAACATATTTATAAGCCATTGCTAAATTTAAGGCCATGAAGCTTTCCTTTATGTTTTATAGTGTTAGCTTTTAAATGTTTGTCTTTTATGCAATTGAGTTAATTATTGTATATGGCACTTAAGAATATCTAATTTTGGGGCTGGAGAGAGGGCTCAGCGGTTAAGAACACTGGCTGCTCTTCCAGAGGTCCTGAGTTCAATTCCCAGTAACCACATGGTGACTCACGACCATTCATAATGAGATCTGGATCTCTCTTCTGGCCTGCAGGCATACATGCAAACAGAACACTGTATAAATCATAAATAAACAAACAAATAAATAAATAAATAAATAAATAAAATGGGCTGTGATGCTGCAGGCCTTTAATCCCAACACTAGGCTACAAAGCGAGTTCCAAGACAGCCAGGACTGTTCCACAGAGAAATCTTGTCTCAAAAATAAATATATAAATATATGTATCTCATTTTTTGTTTAAAAAAAAAAGCAAAACAGGATTAAATAAAGTCAGCTAAAAGTAGGAGCACAAAAGGTGGAGCAAACAACTAGTTGGCAGGACGTGAACATAAGATTATTAAGAAAAACCTTATGGAATACAGGGGAGTCAGGAGGGTGAATAGAGAGGGGCAGAGGAATTAGAAAGGAGACTCATTGTTTGAGTTAGACAAGCGGAGGCTTCTGGGACATCGGCTGAGGAGGAAGGTCAGCTGGTGCTTTCTCTGCTAATAAAAAAAGTTACAAGCAAAACTCTCACACATATAAAATCTTCAAAAATATATGGAAAAGAATATCTTATCTTGGCATCATTTGTCAAGGACATTGTTCTTTTTCTCCGTTGATATTTGAGCATCCTTATTAAAATTGACTATAAGGGTAAGTGTTTGTTCCTGCTCTGTCAGTCCTCATCAACAGGTCTACTAACGTGTGTCTCTTTGTGCTAGTAACTCTTATTGCCTAAACGGGGAGGTTTTCCGTTGAGAAGTGTGAGTCCTACAACTTTGTTATTCTTTATTAAGCTTATGTTAATATTTAGAGTCTTTTGTTTCCATGTGAAATTTAGTGTTGTCTTTTCCGTCTCTGACAAAAACGGCTGTCAGGACTTTGATAGTGGTTCTATTGACTCCATGAATCATCTAAGGGAAATAGTGCTATCTAAAAAATTAATTATCCAACCCTTGAACATAGGATGGCTTTCCCTTTTTTAAATTTCTTATTAATTTCTTTAACATTTAAGAGTTTTAAGTGTTGAGTCTCCCTACTTTCATTTATTTGTAAACAGATCTATTTGTTGTTATGGGAAATTGAATTTTTTTGAATTTAGTTTTTAAATTTTTAATTACTATCAATGAAAAGACAATTTACTTTTAAACATACAACTTTGCTGAGTATGTTTATTAACTTAAACAATTTTCTGTAGTTTTTAGAATATAAAAATGAAATAATTTCATTACAGATAGATATAATTTATTTCTTATTTTCAAATCTGGATTCTTTTTACTTCTTTACATACGTCTCATTAGGTTCAAATCTCTAGGATATTTGAAATAAAAATGGTGAAACTGGACATTGCCATGTTTGTGATTTTAAAATAGGTGTTTCTCATCATTAAGTATGAAATTAACTGGAGAATTTTCATTCATGCTTTGTATCATATGGAGGGGGTTTACCTTTATTCCTTACCAATTTCTGAATGAAGAATTTGGTTTTTTATGCAATTGAAGAAGACTATGACTTGCAACGGCCTTAGCACATTGATTACATTCAACGTGTTTCTATCCAGTATATGTTCGATGCAATTGAAGATTACTGTGACATGCAAAGGCCTTACAACACTGGTAATATTCATAGGGATTCCTTCTCTCCATTGTGTTTTCTTTTATACAATTGAAGACTATTTTGATATGCAAAGGTCTTTTCACATTGATTACATTCATAGGGTTTCTCTCCAGTATGTGTTCTTTTTTTTATTATTTATTGATTATTTATTAATGATTTCTGTCTCCTCCCCACCACCGCCTCCCATTTCCCTCCCCCGGTCAAGTCCTCCTCCCTTGTCAGCTGAAAGAGCAATCAGGGTTCCCTGCCCTGTGGGAAGTCCAAGGACCACCCACCTCCATCCAGGTCTAGTAAGGTGGGCATCCAAACTGCCTAGGCTCCCACAAAGCCAGTACATGCAGTAGGATCAAAAACCCATTGCTATTGTTCTTGAGTTCTCAGTAGTCCTCACATTCTTGAAAGAAACCCTATGATCATAATCATTTTGGTAAGGCCTTTGCAAAACACAGTCATCTTCAAATGTACAAAGGATCACAGAGTAAAGAGAACCCCTATGAATGTAGTCAGTGTGGTTAGGCCTTTGGAGACCACTGTACTCTTCAAGATAATAAAAGAACAAACTTTTATTGTGTAGTGTAGGGAAACTTTATGAATGTATATCAGTGGAAGAAAGACTTTTCACATCTTATTCACCTTCAGATGCATAAAAGAACACAGACTGGAGAGATTATTGTCAATGGAATCTGTGGTAAATCCTTTGTCACAATCATCTGCAAATACATAAAATAAACCATCTTTTAGGCAAAAAAAAAGAATTTGTTTTTATAAAATGGGCTTTCTATGTCAGGTGAGATAATCATTTACTATTTTTCTTCATTTTATTAATAAGTTGAACTCTTTGAGT